CCCCAAAACCCCAAAACCCCAAAACCCCAAAACCCCATAAATACAAGTTAAATTGACGTCACTTTAATTTAATTTAGAACAAATGGAAAAGGTAATGGATTCAAATTGTCATGAGAATACCACTTTTGTCATCAAGGAGAGAATGAATCTCTGTAGGAATGATGACCAACAGCTTGGTGTTATCCTCTGAGTTTAGGTCAAACTTCTGCTTCGTCTCTCAATCTATAGTCCTCTTAAGGATCCTACAGCTGATATTATGTTGCATCACAAATTTCTAGCTTCCTAAATAATTTAGTTTTTAATCCTGAGTTTAGAAATCTGAGAATTGCGAGGGAAACCAGACAAGCTTCAAAGTTTCAGGAGATATCTTCCAAAGATTTGTAGACAATGCAGAATTTGATGCTAAAGAAGCATGAATCTTCATGTGGGGAGGTCAAAAAGATTATGATACATTGATGAAAGCCGCTGATGTGCTATTTAATGACCCTGTAGACTTGAACACCCCCTACAGGACTGATTTCACAAGAGAAGAAACTTTTGAGTATGGATTCAAAAAGTTGAGGAGATTAGTCGATTTAGGAAAAGAGAAGAAAGTTCCTGTGATTAATAATATATCTTACCCTATATTCACATTCGCTATTGGTGGACTCGTCCAGTCCAGTGCTCACCACGGAATGTTTGAGAGTGTTCTGAGGAACTTGGGCGACGAGTACCAAAGCACAGAATTAGTGAAAAAATGAATTACATATGAGATTTTTGGATGCTATGCACAAACCGAAATCGCTCATGGATCCGATGTTAGAGGTTTGCAAACTACTGCTACTTATGACCATGACCAAAAATGCTTTATTATCAACACTCCTACCATGAAAGATGCTAAGTTCTGGCCAGGAGAGCTTGGTAAAGCAGCAAACTACGCTGTATTCCAAGCTAAGACTATAGTCAAAGGCAAGAACGTTGGAGTTCAAACCTTTGTATGCCAAATCAGAGATATGGATAGTCATAGTCCTCTTAGAGGTGTTGAGATTGGCGATATCGGTCCTAAATATGGATTCGCATCGAAAGACAATGGATACATGTATTTTGATAACTTTAAGATCCCAAAGTCTGCCCTCCTTTCAAGATATGTAGGCATCACTGATGAGGGTGATTTTATTCAAAAAGGAGACCCAAGAGTTGCCTATTCAACAATGATGCTTATTAGGATCCAGCTTGTTGAAGCAACTCCCGCTTATATGCATATGGCTTTGCTTCTGTCTTCCAGATACTGCTATAACCGTACCCAATTTAAGACACTGCCAGGATCAACTGAAGAAAGAAGAATTATTGATTACCAGGCATCTATGGCTAAACTGGCACCATGCTTGGCATTTTCCTTTATCTCTAAATTCACTGCTTACAAGGTAAATGACATGTACAAAAGAATGCAGGAAGAGATTAACACCAAAAAGGAATTCGGGCTAATGAAAGCTCTTCATTCCGTCCTTTGTGCCCTGAAAGCCTATTACATGGAGGAATCTGTCTATTACATCAAGGAGCTAAGAGAGCTAATGGGTGGACATGGATATCTCCAGGTCAACGGAATCACTGAGCTTTTAGAATCTGTATCTCCAAACGTTACACTTGAGGGAGATGGATGCGTCATGCATCAACAAACTGCTAGAGATATATTCAAAAACTTCCAAAAAGCTTTCATGGATGATGGGCCTCTGTTAGAAGGATATTCTTACCTCAAAGACAGTTTTGAGTATATGGACAAGAAGATCACCGGAGACATCAAGGATCTCTCCACTCTTATGGAAATCCTAAAAGCTAATGCTTTTATACAAGCAGCAAAAGTTGCTGAGAAGCTAGGAAAATCAACTGAGGAATCTTTTGACTCCAAATGGAACAAGACTCATCTCTCAGAGATTGTTAAGACTTCACTTCTTCATGCAATTTACACTTCTGCTGTGAACTGCTATGAAGGACTAAACTTATATGGATTTAGCCCAAAGCTTAGAGGAGTAATGGAGATTTGCTTAAGACTTTATATCACTACTAACATAATCAGATATGGAGATGCAGCTTATCTCCATGGAACCATTTCTGCTGACCAATTAATGCAAGCGAAGGTAAGGATATTTGGTGACGTCATTCTTCAAAGAATTAAAATTACGTATTTTCTAGGACTATCACTCAGAACTCATCGAGAACCTAAAGCCACATATGACAGCGTTGATTGAATGTGTCACTCCTGTTAGGAACTCTATTCCAGCTCTTGTATCCCAAGTCGATGGGAATATGTACGATAAACTTTATGAAAATGCTGCTACTTCAAGACTCAACAGAAGAGGTATTGTTTAGAACTAATATGTAGAGGGTATTGTTTCAATCAAGGAAGACCTGGTGCCTCTCAGTGAGAAGTTATCAAAGCTTCATGGGGTAGAGTATATGTCTCATTCTCCAACTGCAAGCCCATCAGCTAAGATTTAGACTTAGATAAGCATAGCTCAATATTTCTCTGCCATTGTGGGGTTTTGGGGTTTTGGGGTTTTGGGG